GAGAGAGAGAGAGAGAGAGAGAGAGAGAGAGAGAGAGAGAGAGAGAGCAGAGACAAATTAGGTAGGCAGGCCATACAAATATTTCTACCGGCCCGGGAACCAAACCCGGGGCCGTTTCAAACCAGTATGGTAACCGTTAAAGTAATAAATAAATTTTAATTTGTAACAATTTATTATATTCGCTCTTTGTATGACAGCTTTTAGAGAAAAGGCGCATCATTTGTATGATCGACTATTGTTTTAAATCCAAATGGTCTAAAATAACATATTGTCTATTCTGTCCTAATAAATGCTAAAAACTTTGCTAGGCTTCTACAAACGGTCTCCTCCGATCTCCATACCGCTGGTTGGTGCTCTCATCAGAAATGGAACATTCACTTGAGGAATTGGACTTATTGGCTGACAGCGATTTCGTGCTTGCTCAAGCTACGGAAACTGGATTTTCTTTGAACGAACGTAAGAGTGTGGTGTCACTTAATTACATCTGTTATCTCTAAATATCTAAGTGTTAATAGAGTTACAGTAGATCTCTATTATATATCTATACGTTAATTATAAAACAAAAGACTTTAGTGTAACTTGTAGTCTTTTGATCGGTGCTAATAAATCCATCTTAGGAGTCTAGTCAACCTCAAATGGCTTTGGTTCCGCACAACACTCGAAGTGTTGAATCCATTACTTTGGAAAATATACATATATATAGTAAAATTGAGGATGTACACTGATTGATTACTATATGGTGTAAAAACAGGATTCATGAAAATGTTCACGTTAGAAAAAAACACAACACTTACCTCGAAATTTTTTACAAGAAAACCGCTGTACCTATTCAATAAATACTTCACATATACCCATTGACTTACAATTATATGGACGTCGGGTCCGCGCTAAAAAGTGTCCGAACTTATAGGGCGTTAAAATGGTATACAGAGCGTCATTCAAGCTGTGGTCTTCGTTTGTTCGACTGACAGCGAAGCAAGCAAAATTAGACAGTACTGCGATGACATTACAATTTAAATTCAACGTTTTAGCTTTTTCATATTCCTTTACATGTCACTACGTTTAAATAGGTTGACTTGGGACATTTTTTTTTCGTGGTTTTTGTATTAGACCCGTCGTTCATTGATTTGTAAGTCAATGCATATACCAATGATTTTTATTTATATCAACTGAACTAAATAGAACAAGTATAGTATACGATATACCTTTTTCAAATGACTTTAACTTCTTTTGTAAAAAAAATTAATTCTGAACTAAAGTCAGTTTCCTTACAGCTCGATCCAAGCAAAATTGTAATTTCCTAAAAAACCAGTTACAGTTTTTATTACTGGTTGTTTAGGAAATACATTTGGGATTATGAAAATTCCAGCAAACGTTATTTCGGACCATTCGGGCAAATGTATTATCGGGCTTCTGATAGGTAACCCCAAGCCGTAAAACGAGTTTATCAATATTTTGCATTGACTTACAATTATATGGACGTCGGGTCCGCGCTAAAAAGTGTCCGCACTTGTAAGGCGCTAAAATCGTATACAGAGCGCCAAACTCCGCTTTAGTCTTCATTTGTTCGACTGACGGCGCGATACAGCGATGACATTACAATTTAAATTTCGAATAGGTTGACTTGGGACATTTTTCTCGTGGTTTTTGTATTAGACGCGTCGTCCATTTATTTGTAAGTCAATGATATTTTGTTACTTTTTGTTAACATCAAAGTGAATTTATATTTTCTTTATTCTAAATGTTTCAATCGCTTGTGGTTCGAACAAATTGAAATTGACGTATAATGGGTCTCTAAATTGACGTATAATGGGTCTCTTTCTGTAATGCAATATCTAGGATACGGACAGTTAGCTATTTCATTATATTCGGCTTTCCGCGCGAAATCTTTCGTCTCGTGTACCTAACTGGGCGCGAAGGGTGGCAAACTAGGGGATGAATCCGGTTTGGTGCACTTTCCGATAACCGATTCCAATAAAACTTGGCAAATAGACGTAATTAATTCCACGAACTTTTGTAGTCGGTTTTTTTTAAATAAAAAGTTACAATTATCTTTGTTCTAAACGTTTTAATCTTGTGATTAATAATAATAAATTAAAAATAAATAATAAGTAATTGAAATTGACGTAATGGGTCTCTTTCCGTATTTTGCAATGTGTAGGATAAAGACAGAAATTGGATTATTTTTGTTGCTTTTGTAATTTATATGCATTTATATGTAATTTTTACAAGTTTTTAGTTTTTTAGTTTTATTCCGTAAATCTAAATACAGTCGACTTGCGAACCTTCTCCTTTTTTTTTATGAAATATATTTCAATACAACTATATCTAATACAATACAAGTAAAATCAATGTAAATAAAGCTATTATAGTATTAAAATAAGCATTAAGAAGAGAACCTAAATTATGGTTTCTTCATAGTACAACTTATACATTTTAATCTGATGTGTAATTGCGATGCCTGTACTAAGTAAATGTGTTCCTGTATTTTAGGCATCTTTTGGACAAATTTATTTATATTGCAGCTTAAAAAGAGATTTTCAATATATAACAATAAAATAAAGTAGTTAGTAGTTATAAATTAATGGTTACCTACATTGACTTACAATTATACATTGTTACCTATATAAAATAATTATGAAACCAGAAACAACTTCCTGCAAGCCCTCTGTTGCATAGTAAATTTTACTCCTAAGCTAGAATTTGATGGTCTTTCTACATTCTATTTTATTCATGACGAATTAATGCAAAGTAGAATTTAATTTAAAGAAAAGGAATGTACCAAGGAAGCAAAAGAATCTATGCGAGTGTGCTCTGCGAAGTTATGTACGAAATGGAAAGGTATCAAGTCGTTTGCTGTTGGTTGTAGTAAAGGAATCAAATGGAGTATTTGAGTCCTTTTTCAAAATTATCTGTTGGATAAACAGTTGCCCAACTGAGAGGACATCGCACTCGTTTAGGAATCTGCGGGTTCGACAATCGAAAGGACGGAAGTTGATGACTTTAAGAACAGATCTCTCCGCTCTTTCCAGGTTTATCTGGGTGGTCTTATGTGCACCGCCCCAGGATGTAATACAATGCAATTGCCGGTTTGACAGTGCGATTTCCAAGTACTTTCTGTTCAAATAAACCAACGTTAAAACAACAAGTACTTATACGCTATGTAGATACGAAAAAAAGCAGTTCAAAAAAAAAATATTTCAAAGTTGTGATACATATTTTCCTCAATAAATGTTTAATTAAAAAACCCGTTTTTCCAGTGCACAAACCATCATTCACCGGTCCCATACAAGTGACACAACGAGGATACTTCAACGGAACTTTCTTTGACATCAGACCTCATAGGTCACTGTTCAGAAGAAGGAAAGACGTCATGGGTCATACCCTGACTATGTCAAATGTCATACAGGACAACAACAGAACGCAATACCATTTGCCTAAGGAAAATCGTCTGTAAGTACCGTGTATCAAAATACATTTTTTTATGATATCAAGTAATTTTAAGCGACATGACTATTCACAACAATTGCAGTGCCTCTTAAAACTTGAAATCGAAAATATTAGCCCATGACCTGGAGACGTCAGTTGTCGAATCCCATGTGCCTGTAATTTCACCAGCACGCTTATCCTTCAAAACCGGAACGCAGTAATGCTCACACTACTGCTTAGTAACCAACTCTTTCACTAGGAGCTCTGTTGCTGCTAAAATATTAACTAAATGATAAATAATAAACAAAAATCAAATATTAAAAAATATCATGTTATATGGGTCAGAATGTTGGGCGATGAAAAGGGAGGATGAACGAACTGTGCATGTAGCAGAAATGCGAATGTTGAGATGGATGTGTGACGAGAAAGGATAAGATAAGGAATGAGTACATCAGGGGAAGTTTGAAAGTGGCGCCAGTGACGGAAAAGATGAGGAGTAATAGGTTAGCGTGGTATGGACATGTCATGCGGAGGGAAGAATGTCATGTGACGAGAAGAGTGCTAGGTGTGAATGTGGAGGGATATAAGGGGAAAGGAAGGCCAAAGAAAAGATGGATGGATTGTGTGAAAGATGATATGGATAAGAAAGGTGTGAGTATAAAAATGACAGCTGATAGGGGAGAGTGGAAGAAAAAGGTGGGATAAGGACAGGAAGAAGAAGAGAAATGAAAAATATCAAACAAAAGATACCCTGATGGTTTGACAGTGGGACGTAAAAATGAGTTGATGTTGAAATGTTTAATATTTCAGCACGCCATGACTATGTTTCGTCGTATATATAAAAACTTACAAGTACCATTTTTCAGGGAACCAGAACACGATTCCATAGCAAAGATCAGCTGGAGTAACGTTCGACTCGCATTTGAAGTGCTGAACGCAACCCCAAGATACATCTTCAGCCATCGTTGGGGGTACAAGCAGAACGGGGTCTGGTCGGGCATGATAGACGATCTTTATAGCAATCGAGCTGATGTCGGTAAGAAGGTATTTTTGTACCGTGACCACAAATACGGCAAATCTTCGTAAGTAATTGGTATCTCACTCGTTGTTGTTTACACACTCGGTGTTAAGACAAGTAAATCAAGTGCCAAAAAATCGAGCTTCCTGAGAGTTCAACTTCGTGCTTCACCTATATGAAAGACATTTTAGTAAGACACTTCTAAATAATGCCTATTTACTCTCGCTTTGAAAAGACCCAAGTTATAACGTTCAGGGAACAAGTCTGCAGGCAGGAAATTCCACTCCATAGCCATCTTGTAAATGTGGAAGCGTAACGCTTCATGCGAATCTTTGGAACAACTTAGGGGTGGCACCCGCGTCTACGCCTAGTCCCTCGATGATGGAAAGGGGAAGGCAGAATTGAATCGTGTAATTTCGCCTTTCCCCTTTCCTTCTCCTCGCACATTCTCCGTGATATATCCTGTAAAATATCGATAAGCAGGCAACTTTAGGGCGGTGTTCAAAGTAGCCAGTTGGTATGTAGCAGAGCCATCTCAAAGGTGGCAGCACCCCTTGCACGACTGGACTTGTGCTTGGTACAGCTGAAGCAACTGTCCGGGTGTAAAATAACCTATAAGCCTTTCTTCTGTAAGATTTTGTCTGTTTTGTTTTTGCGCTCTCCAGTAAAATTTTGTCTAAAGCGCTTACCAGCTTTTGTTATGTGGCAGCCGCGGAGTCTTCGAATCTGTTTAATAACTTACCTACGACTATTTTGTTTCGTATTGTATGTTCACAGGAACAAACTGCCTAGTTCTGCAAGAACGTTTATCGGTGGTGGTTTACACTGACGTCTTAGCACCATTCCACGTCCGCTTCATATTCCGCCAACCTCCTCTCTCCTACGTGTCTAACATATTCTCCCTTCCTTTCTCGACCGGGGTATGGGTTGCGATGGCGATTTGCACTGCCCTGTCAGCAGTCAGTCTTTACTTGGCCAGTCGATGGGAGGTCACGCTTGGGAAGGTAAATAACAATTAATGCAGTCCATGTCAGTCAAAGTCTGCTAAAAGGCGGACAGTGTTATAGTTATCAATTATCAAAAGATTGGTTGGAAATAGATACGACGTAGCGGTCTGAAAAAGGGTGGACGAAAACAATCAATAGTGCCATTTTGCGGTCTACAATTAAGCTGAAACCAAAAATGTCAATAAATTCATGATTTTAGAGCCCATCCCAACTAGACGGTAGCATTGGAGACGCACTTTTGTTGACCATGAGCGCAGTAGGCCAACAAGGATGTGTAATGGAACCTAGAAAAGCTTCAGGTACAATTTTTTTTGCAGCCTTGTGAAGACCTTTGGTCTGGAACCCCGAAGCTGACTAATTTTGTGTTAAAACAAGGACAGCCAAAAAGTTTAAAAGAATTAATGAACTATATTTGTATGAACTAGAACTAGTTAAACAGCAGAGACCTTCTTGTGAAAGAGTTCGTCCAGGGAAGTACTGCCACCTTACCTATTTCTGCCGCCAAGCAGTAATGTTAACATTACTACGTTCCGGTTTGGAACGGTAAGGGTGATGGTGAAATTACGGGCACATAGGATTTGTCAACTTACGGGCACATGGGACTTGTCAACACGGGCGCAGTGATAGGTACCTTAAGATCTTTGCGATTTAAAGCTCTGAGTGGCACTGCAACTGTTATGAATAGGCGTGTCGCTTACCATCGGGTGCACGACTTGTTCGCCCCGTCATTTGGTATATTAAAAAAAAATTGTTTGCGTTCTAGGAGTTTGGCTCTCAAGTTGAGAAGGCTTCAGAGTTGTGCCCAAAGAATAATAATAATAATTAACTAATCATTATAATATAAAATTGTGTACAATAATATTGCATAATTTACAGGGCGGATAATGGTACTGGTGTTATTTACCGCATTAATGGCTTTGTACGCTGCGTATTCGGCCAATATTGTAGTCCTGCTTCAGGCACCTTCCGACTCCATTCGTACTTTGGCACAGCTGGCTCATTCCAAGCTTACAGTTGCTGCCTATGATGTTGACTACAATTATTTCGTGTTCAAAGTTAGTACGTTCACCAAACTACGACCGCGTTTGCATTTTATTTAAACTGCTCGATGTCAACTTCGAATCGATTTCCTTGATGGAATGCTTTATCACGTATTTAGGTTAATATATTGAGTGTATAGGATAGGAGGTCTTTCCCTAAACTCTAGGTGAAAACGAAAAAGAGACCAGATTCCAACGGCTTTCTTGACCAAGACTGGCCTGATCAAGACTAGTCTGACCAAGGTTGACTTGACGTCGCCAGCTTTGTTTAGCTGGCCAGCTGACAGACTGATATAGAGACTGGCTTTTTTTTTGCCTTTTTGTTTGATTCTGGTGTTCGACGTGTGTATCAACGACGAAATAAACACGAAATGAAGAAAGCCATTGGAATCTGGAATTCCTTTTCACTAGGATAAAAATAAAAACAATACGATACGAACAATATGTCAGCCTCTGGTAGCTATAAAGTAACCTGGCTGAGTGAAGAAAAACTTTCATAGATTTCTCACTGGAGGCGCTATGGCAAAAAGGCTATTAAAACAAAAAATACTGTAACAAATGCATAGAGAAATTCATAAGGTCCGCTCAGGTCCGCTAACACGATCTGTAGCTCAGTTGGTAGAGCGGTTGCCCTAGATTGGCGAACAGACGCAGGTTTGAGACTTGTCAGTTCGGAGAAATTATTCTTTGTGTTCGATCTTTGTATGCAAAGTTATGGAGTAATTCCACAAAAGTAAATGATAATTATGATAGTATATTACAATAAAATCAATCAAAATAAAAAAATTATATCAAAATTACAGTTATTGATAATTTTAATAGATGTGTCATTGAGAACTTAAATTCTACGTATTTCAAACGTAAAAACTACGTAGAATTAGAATAGCTGGTGAAAGAAAAGAGTGAATTCTACGTAGTTGCAAATATTTATTGAATTGATATTCAATTATTTTTTTGTGAAATTACTTCACTGGTTTATAATTATCAACAAGTGCAAACTGTGCCAGAATTTACGCCAACTAAGCCACGGTACGAACCAGTGGACCTCACAAAATCTCACACACACTCACAATATTTGTGAGGACCAGTACTCAACGACTGACACAGCATTATCAGTGGCGTTGTACAGATCCTTGCCAGTGCAGGTGTAGGGGCACGTAGGACAAGACAAAAGATGTGCCATAGTTTAGGGAGAGACACCACAAATACATGCGCTCTCAGAGCTATAACCCCTATAACGGTTCGAATCCGGCCGGATCGAAGGAATTTTTTCTAAGTGTTTGATCTACATAGTTTTGTTTTATTATTTAGTTAGGTTTATACTTCATGAACTAGTATTAAATTTGTACTCGTCTGGCATGCGTCTGACAATGGAAAGTCCCAACAATAGCTATAACTTTCTACTGATCTTTTAAAATCTTGTTCAGAATCAAAAACTTTGGATAAATCTCAACGGTAACTATAGCTACTTCTGATTATAGTTTCCGTTGAGTTTTGTGAAAACAAGTTTGTGACTTTGACTAAAAAATGGTATTGTCATTTGCTTTTCAGATGTATAAAGATCCGGTAAGATTGGAAATATCAAACAAAATTATACCGGAAAAAGGCAAGAAACAATTTTACAGCTTCAACGACGGCGTTGAGAGAATTAGACAGGTACCTATTCTCGGTACTGGTGCCTACCGTAGTTGATCATATCCATTATTCCCACTAGTTCTGTTGTACAGTTCTTTTAACAGAAATACTGGTACTTTTGTCCCATTTGTTCTGTTATTGAAAAGAGTTTTCTTCACAGAACTGCTGAGAATTTTCTATACTGAATTTTATGACATGGGTATGTTAGAAAAATCGGAGATGAGTCTGAATTAATTTATACGTGAATTCTTAACCAAGGTTAACAACCTTAGTGGAGCACGTGACCGGACTCGTGCTGACAAGGCTGTTTTTCAGGGTTTGTTCGCTTTTCATTCCATTGCGGAGCCAGTTTATCGACGTATCGCAGAAACTTTCTATGAAATGGAAAAATGTGATTTGATGGAAATCGACTTCATGAATGACTTTGATCCTTTCACCCCTGTTAAAAAGGACTCTCCTTATTTGGAGCTCTTGAGGGTAGCGTAAGTTTCAGCCTAAGGATATCAGTATATTAGAATCTTTCTTTTTGCTTGTACAAATAATATATATAATAGCCATTATTGATGGACAATAAGTGCAGCTGTAGTTAGGACCGTGTTTTATAACCCGCTTTGAATTAAAGTCATTGCAAACTGACAGATTATCGCGTAAACCCATTTTACAGGAATTGGGTAGTTTTGAAAATAAAAGACAATGATGGTTAATCCATTTAAAATCTATTCCTAGATTCAAGCAAATTCGTGAGGTTGGAATACGATCGTCCCTAAACCGCCGAATGCAGATCCCTAAACCGCGATGTGCAGATAAGATGACAGCGTTTAGCAGCGTCGGCCTTCTAGACCTAAGACCTGTTCTCATTCTGATGTTGTATGGCATCCTAATCTCCGTTGTAATTCTTGTAGCCGAGATCAGCATATTTAGACTGTAAGTAACTAAAACTGGCGAACTGTCTGCTACTTATTTCTTGGTCTTCTTAATTTCTTTCTTCTTTTCAGAAAGCGTCTAACCCAGCGTAAGTACCCATTAGTACACGCAAGTGACTTTAGAAAATATGATTCTGACCTGAAATAAACTAAATTCTAAGCACAGTAATTTTTTGTTCTTTTTATCTTTTACTAGTTGATAATTTAACTAAACGGTGGTCACCAGGTGGTAAGTGCACCTTATAGCTACGCGGTTTACTTGGGCGGTTATTTAGTTTAACGTTTGTTTAATAGTGTTTTGCCATGCTTCTCTGGCCCTTTCTGGTTACGCAAGGTCGTTGCCTTTCTGGGCGCTTCTTGCTTTCTGATCCTGCGGTGCTTGTTCATCATAGGTGTTGACATTTTCTGAAGAAACGGTGAATCCTTGGCATTGTGGTTAATTTTTGGTTGCTCCAAGAAACTCTTCGACGTCAGCTTGTTTGAATAAGTGAGCGGTAATCTGTTACCTTGCCGCATGTTAATAAACCGTTTCTCATACTGTACGCCTATGCTTTTCCTCGAAAGGCGCGTGGGGTCTCCGAGTTTGTTATCAGTGCTGACGGACGCTGCAAGGTTGGAGACCATAACTCTGAGTTCCGACAGTGTGTTTCCATGCATGTGAACATCTTCTTGCAGTTTATCTAATTTTTTCTCAAACTGCTTAAACGAGTTCATAAATCCTTGCAAAGAATCCTTTTTACGTAGCCGCTGCATTGGTTTTGTCGTTCAGTGTGTTCAAACAAGAAATTTTGTTTAGCAATTTTTATTACACTTATTGATTTGACATGAGTTTGATAAAAGTGATGACGTAGGAAGTCAGTTCACTTTGGATATTTATTATTTTTTTCTTCTTCTTAAAGATTTTTTAACGGAAAAAGTTTACGTTATTATTGTCACGATTCCAAAAATACAACAGTTCTTAACACTCAGCAACGTCGGTTCTCACCGAACAAACAGATTCTGGCATCATCAAAAAATAAAACCCTACTCCTGGGTAGAGGTGTCCACCACACAAAATTTTGAACAAACCACAACTTTGCTGTATTAATTTAGGCTCTCTAACGGTCGTCGGCTATGTATTTCAACTTCTAGACATCTCCTGACAGTCCAGATGCTGTTACTTCTTCAAAATTGTTTTTGATGCATGTGTAGGTTTTGATATGGTAAACTTGGCTCACAATTTATATTTTCCTAAGACTTCGTGTGCTTCCATACGTGAAATTATTTAGACCTAGACAATATTGTGTACTTTACAACGAAAATATTGAATTCGACCATGGGGTATCTAGGAAAATACGTTTTTCAAACAATTATTTATTACTCTCTACTCGGGTTTGAAGCATGTAATTAATTATAATAAGTTCAGTAGTACGGGTGTGACATATATTTTACGAAGTTTATTTTGAACATTAAAATCAAGGCATTTAAGGTTCAATTTTAAACTTCTTCTTAAGGCAATAATTAATAAGGTTCATAATTGACTGAAATAATATGTTTTATAAGATTTAAACATTAAGGATTTATTATTAAGGTCCAAAACTGAAAGCACTACTATAGACACACTTCCCCGTCGAACCGAGGCAAGTGTGACTACATTGCTAATGCACGATAGATAACTATTTTTTTATTGTAAAATGCAAAGATTATGTTACATATGTACAACAAGCAATTATTTGTCATCTATATTATTTTCATAAGTTCTTTTAAGCACTTCAGATAACAAAAAGTTTTGAGGTAAGAGTGTTATACTGTGCTTCAGACAGAGATGGAAAACCTTTTAAAAATAACCACTTTATTGGTGCTTAGAACAAAGTATAATAAAAGATTCTTGGCATGGTTTATACTCTTTAAAAGGGATAATGAGATTGTTCTCTTTTACTCCTAATTATAAAAGTCACTAGTAGCCGTTTAAATAAAAAATATAATTGGCGCGATAATAGTTATATGTATTCCGGTCACCGTTCGGTATGTACCTACTAAAATTAAAACGAGATTTAGTCACAGTAGACTTTCTGACTGTTCTCTTCTTACTCGAAGCGCTAATCTCAAATATACCACTAACTAAATACTAAAATAATAAATTAATGTTTACCACTTCTGACTTGGGACAAGTGTGACACATAGACACACCTCAATTATAGTAGGCACACTTCCCCGATCACGTAAGTTTATGGTTATGTTTTTTAAATACAAATAGAACTCTTATGTTTGACAATCCAAGTGAAATAATAATGGTAATATTAAGTTTAACAACTAAAAAAATAACTTACCTATACCAAATACCGTCCTTCGTCGAAATCACCAAAATTTGTGTACGTACATTGAAACGCCACATGAGTCATTTTCCCGGCCGTGATTTTTGCGCGGCGTGGTCGAAAGTCGTGGTATAAGTTGTCAAAATAGATATGTAATATTTTTTGTAGTCAAGTACACCTAAATCTTCACCTGGACCTACGAAGAAAAAAATCCTACATCGACGTTATAGTATATTTATAATTTTTTTTAGTACCGACTTCTAATTTTGGTGACGCGTCCACAACCTGTCCGAAACTTGCTCGGTCAATCATGAATGATAAAACATCGAACCCATTTTGAAAAAATACTGGTTCACCCGCATTGTCACTGAATGTTATTGTCTGTAATTAATCAAATGATTTATTAAACGGTCTAATTTAATTAATAAGGAATAATCTCCCGCGCGAGGAGCCTAATTCTGGTGAACATTTTTAAATGCTTACTAGCAAATACTGTAAGCTTTGCAGAACTTTCCGAGCACTACCTTTCGCCACCTCCAGTCTCTCGCGCTAATGCGCAGTATGGTTGTGCGGAGATCGTGCTGCTTTTCCCGCCAAAAAGGTAAGTACTAATACTTGGTGACATGTGGGCCAAAACTGGCCAAAACTAAGCATTTTTGTGATCATATTATTGAGGATACAATTATGGTTTCAAATAATGCTGTGTGCTTTTTCAATGTTGATTTTGGGTACCGACGATATGCTATAGTTAGTGTTGCCATAACTTATATAGTGTGTTTTTTAAAATAACTTTTTGCTAATTTTCCAATTTTGGTGACACAATTTTGGTGATTTTGATGATTTATCTGTGGACAGATAAATCACCACCACTGAAATTGTAACATTCATATAACATTCAGTGAATATGTCTGTCTATGGGAATTCCACTCCATAGGCGTTCGCCATATATATGTGGAAGCGTAACGCTTCGCGCGGTTCTTTAGAATATCCGCAACATACATAGGGGTGGAACCCAAGCGTAGATACGTCTAGTCCCTCGGTGAAGGGCAAGGCGGAATTAAATCGTGTAATTCCATCGCATACTCTCCGTGATATATCCTGTAGAATGTCGATAAGCAGGCAAGTTTACGGCGGTGTTCAAGGTTCTGTAGCTTCGCACCTATTAATTTCCAGTTACCTGTAAGCCTCTTGACAAGCTTGTCGATTGAACTAGACTCCGCAGAGATCTAAGTACCTCTTTTTGGCGTATGCAAACTGGTGCCGTAGTGCAGCGAGTCTGAGGTAAGGTAGGTGGTAGGGTCCCTGCGGTATCAAGACGCGAACTCTCTGCAAAGAATGAGGCAAAAAGAGTGACCTTCTCTTCCGCAGTATGGGCCAGCGAGCCGACCGGCCTCAGCAGAAGTGGTAAAAGATGGGCGACAAAAATTAGTTTCAACCGCTTTGACTAGGGACCAACAGGATTTGCTACCTGCTGGATAAGAGGCAAGCTTGGCTCCTATGCATCGCGTATGGTCGAAATTGGCCGTAACACGTTTTTGCACTTCTTGGCGGCCTTATTAAAAGCATTCTTCAGATTCCGAGTACTCGGAGCTTTGCGTAATCAAGCGTCTGCCTAAGCTTGCCAGGCGGACTGTTTTTTAACTTCAGCACGGCTACAGCCAGCGCTTAATCATGGCTGAGCTTGTGGACCATTGGGTAAATCAGAGTATGGTATGTAATACTCCATATCCAAACGCAAAACTTCGACTACGGCATCAGCACAGTTCGACGAGTCTTCTGAAGAAAAGCAAGCCTTCCCCCTGGAAGGCTCATATATCCCTATATCATATATCCCTATCACATATCCCTATATGAAGCAAAGAAATGGTGCATTTCGTCCCAATCTGTTAATATGTATCACCACACCCGTTTCGCACCACTAGGGTTCTGATCGGGTGGGGAGTATACGGATACAGTTTTCAACAGACGACAATGGTCAGAAGTACACAATACTTATCACAGAGTATCGCTCTGGATCAATTGTTAGCAGAAGGTCCAAGCAATTAGCCGTCTGAGACTCAACATCTAGATCATGCTATATGTGGCTATTAAATATGTTTTCTGATTTAATTTGTGTTTTTTTTTCTCCAATTTACTTTAGTGACGATGTTTAATTTTAGTGATCAAACAAAATTTCATTTCCATATATCTTTAATACTACTTGGCATTTGGAAGGGCCGGTAAGATATTCTTTTTGGTATTAATTTTTAATACAATACCAATCCATAATATTTACTTAAAACATAAAATTAAAAATTGTTACCAAAATTAGGTAAGAAAAACCGTAGAAGAACGAGGGGTATGACGAGGTCGTTAAATATGTTAGCAATATACTGCTTTGCCAATAAGCGACCATCTTCAAACGGCGGGCAGCGCGTTGTTTTTTACGAGAAAAAACCATTTTTGTTCACGTTTCATCTTATTTTGTGTTACCACAAATACACATAAAAAAAGGAAGTACTCATGTTGATACTTTTGTTTTCTTTTTGTTGTTTTGTAGTTATGGTATTTCTTAATATATACTGATTAAAATTAATATATATTACGATTTGTTTTTAGAATTATTAAATTAAAACAATACTAGACGTGGACAGGGCACGATGGGGTACCCTATAATGCCAAACAAATCGTATATGCTTACATTAATTTCAAAATAACAGAAACAAACGAAAGTATCAACTTGAGTAACTATGTGACTGGCCGCATTGTGCCTTAACCAGTTAGTAGCAACTTGATCATAATAGGCGCTCAAAGGCTTCTTTTAACCAATATCCAAAGGCTGGAGCCTGTGCCACTCACAGATTTAAATCACAAAGGCCACGACTGCGCCTGTCTCTGGGACAAAGTTGACAATGTAACTGTAATTTCATCAAAGCCCTTCAAAACCGGAACGCAGTAATGTTCACATTACTGCTTGGCGGCAAAAATAGGTATGGTAATTCATTAGCAAAAATCCCATACTGCCCCTTATTTTTTTACCCTGGGGCATAATGGGGTTTTCTTAGGGTTCCAGTATAATTTTTTTTTAAATGCCAGTTTATTAATTTTTTAACCGAAGAATATGGCAAATTATACTTTAATGTATTGCCAAAGAGTTGTGATTAGTTTTAATATTAAAACGTATATTTTTTATATCTTTATTGGAGTTTTCCCTTAACGTCTCCGTTATTTTCTTCCCCTACCAATTGAAAATGCCTGACACGTGAATTGGGGCTCGAGCTTAGAGGATGGAAAAAAATCTTAAATAGTTTAGGGGCTCGTGTTAAAAACTGACAGATTTCAAAATGACTCTTGAAATGATTTTTAATAAACAAACACAACATCTAACCAACGCTAACAAATATTTTAATTCCAATCGAATATTTTTAATAAATTCAAACCTTTGAACCTTTGAAACCTTCAAACCAAAAAATGCCAGTT